GGGACCCAGTCGTCAGGCGGCGGCTGCCGGGAACCGGCCCGACCCGCAGCGGCTTCCGCGGGGTGCAGAGCTCCGTGCCGCAGGAAATCGTACCAGCAACCGAGGCAGGGGCTTAGCCGCGGGGGACGGGAAAGTTTACCTGTACTTAACTGCTGCTTCTGCTAAGGTATCTCAGCCGGGGCTGTGGGAGCTCGGGCGCCGGGCTCCGCCTCGCAGCCGTACTTACCTCGGTGCTGTCGGCGGCGTTCTCAGCCATTTTCCTCCTCAGGAGCAGGCAGCGGGAGGAGTGTTTCATTCCCATAAGAGCTACCCGAGGGGTTAGGGCTTCGGGGTTGGCGTCTTGTTGTTTTTTTTTGTGTTTCCGAAGATTTCCGAACGCTTTGGCGAGGTGCGCGCCAAAGGAAAGGGAGAAAGAAAAAAAAATTAAAATAATAATACGGAAACCAGCAATAAATCGGGCAGCTTTGTCCTTTCTGCGTTGTCTACGGGAATGTTTGTCTCCTTTTAGCGTCGGGAGCTCCTCGGGCACTCTCAAGATCTCCTGTTTCTCCCCTCTCCTCCACCTCCAGCGAGTTCTTGGGATGGGTAGAGAGAGGCGGCACACACTCTTCAGGTTAAACTGAAAGGCTGTCGGGTTGCGAGTCCTCCTCTTCAGAGAAAGCTGTAGGGCTAAATAGGAGAGAAGCACCAGCTAAACTGAACTTGGGCGTGCAGTGACCAGCTGGGCATCTTTGTGTCTTGTGGCTACTCTTCCAGAGGCAGAGGGAGCCAGAGACTAAGCAACAGGACAAGGAAATCATAGCCCTTTATTTTCCTTCTTTGGGCTTCTTTCTTTCTGTCTAGGTCCCAGGAAACTTGCTTTTAAAATGGTCACAGAATTTGCCACCTTCTTTTCATGAATGTGTTCTGAATTATCAACCCCTCCTTCCCTCTTCTCCCTTCTTCCCTCTGTCCCCTCCTCTCCCCTTCCCCATCCCTACCCCTTCGGCTCTCGGGTAGAGCTCGGTGCCTTTCTCTGGGTATTGCATTCCAGTGTCTTTCGTAGAAAAAAACCCATTATGTAAAGGTCTCCCCACCCGTCGCCTACACCCTGTTACACATAAGCACACATCCACACGTACGTGCACACAAGTTTTCTCCCTCTCACACAGACATGCACAATTTCGTTTCTTCCCCATCCCTCCTCTTCTTTTGAATCGGCAATACTTTTCTTTGCAAAGACTCTCGGCAAGGCTCTTAGAGAGCAACCGAAGAAGTCTGCTCCAGCTTCTTTCCTTCGAGCTAAGTAGCAAACCTGCTTTCTTAATATATCTTCTCGTGTGTGTGCTCCCAGCTTCTGTTATGCTTGGATTTTTTCAGCAGGGCTC